AGTCTGAGTATTTCTTTCTTGGATTTTGAAAGGAGCACATACCGACAACATGTGTTTGGAAAAAATGACAAAAAAACATATAGACTTGAAACCAGAGATATTTTTATTGGGAATTTTACCTGAAATATATAGTAAAGACTTGAAATATCTGATTGTAAATGTATTAACAGTGGCTAGGATTGTATTTGCCAAAAACTGGAAAAATGAGAAAACACCATCACAGGAGGAAATCATTAAGAAAATATTGGAATGTGCTGAAATGAGTAGATTGACATTTGAAATTAGAGAACAAGAGGATAAACAATTTTATAAAATTTGGGATCTATTCTATCAATGGTTAGACAATAAAATAAAGTAATGAAATATGTAGACTTTTAGAAAATAATAAATATATAAAGATGTACTTCTTTCTTATTATATCTACAAAATATTTTTTGGATAGATTTGGGATGATAGTATGAACTGTTATAAAACAAACTAAGTAAATTATGATTATCTTGTAAAACATGAATGAATAAAAGTATAGTCAAATGATTGATTAATAATGATACTAAGATATTTAATTTTTGATTGAAAATACGAGATTATATGCAATGTAATTGTAATTGAAGACTACGAAATGGAAGCACAAAACAATTTATAAACCAACCGGCACACTGTATGTATACATATGGAAGATGGCTTGATGTTTTTATGTTTTGTTTGTTTATGTTTGTTTTTAAAAACCAATAGAAACTTTAAAAAAAAACACGTTGCTTGTTCATAGCACTTAGACCTCAAAAATTGTTGCCGACAAAATTATAATAATCGGTGCTAATCATTGTGCTAATGATCTTTTCACTGCAGTTATTGCTATGGAGATTTGGCGAGGGGGGCATCCAGGCTAGTATGGTCTGCCTATTTCTTTCAGACATTCAGAGCCTGATCATGGGAGGGAGATGCCCTTTGATGCATCCTCCCATAATTAGAATACTGAATACTTGAAATGAACTTATTATTATTTGTCTTTAGATACCCCAGATAATTATTGTTAAAGCTATGAGATGCCATGGAGGAGCCATGATGGCTCAGTGGTTAGAATGCAACATTGCAGGCTAACTCTGCATTCCGCTGCTAGGATTCAATTCTGACCAGCTCAAGGTTGAACCAGCCTTCCATCCTTCCGGAGTGGGTAAAATGTTGAGGTCAATAAGCTGACTCTGTAAACAATTTAGAGAGTCTATAAGACACTAGGAAGTGATATATAAGTCTAAGTGCTATTGCTATTGAAATCAAGTGCCAATCTTCCTAAATGTACTTCTGGGCCAACAGGCAGGTTTTCCTAACATTACCAGTTAAGGTCAAACTATTGGGAATCCTTGGTACCTTTTCATCAATATCCTTACATTAATAGCTAGAGATTCTTATTATTTCTTTTCCAGAGTTGCAAAACTATAATATTGCCCATATTACTTATATTACTACACTTTAATACTTTGCTATAACTGCATTTCTTATTCTCCTTAAATCATTTGGGATCTTCCACATTTAGAAGTCAACACACTGAAAAATATGCTATTGATTTGAATTATTCAGAAGGATCTGTTTCTTCTAATATCCTTTCTTTTTCTGTGGTTTATGTCAACTGGGTTAGAGTGTTTTAAAACACCCTGAATATGACTAGAGATAAGTGAAATTGTCAGTTTGAGATTTGGTGAATTGCTCATTTTCTCAGTGTTCTAAGTTGTGAAAATATGGTTTCCTGTTGACCTCCCTGAATAGCCATATGTATATCATATACAGTTAAGGTAGCCATGGATATTCCATTTATCCACTTCTTGGGTCATACAGTACAAAGAACCATAAACTAACCACCCAGGGTTGGCTTGCACAACATACTAGTCTAAAATGTATATTTTGGCATGTTGTACAAAACAGTAATAGAGAGAGGAGTTTGGGGAAAGGAATATTTTATTTCAATAAATTATTCTGGCTTATATACTGAAATGAAGTTCATTAACATGCAGTCAGAAAGCCACAATGTTCTCTTGTTTTGCTAGATGATGAAGAATTTTAATATAATATAGCAGGAGGAATACCATGAAACCACCCATTGGAATGACTGCTTTTACATTAAGAATAGTTTCAACAGTAACTTGTATTTTTAATACCAACATTTACAAAACTGCTAAAATTACATGGGTACTTGCCTTATGTTCCCCAAAGAATTGAAGTACTGCTCTAGATTTTCAGAATTCTGTATAATTTAGAACAAAGTAACTTAAGAGCAAGCGCTATATGCTGAGTAGTTTACCACTGAATAACCAACTTTAAAATGATCTTTTACTTTCAAACCATGTTATCTATATTGAGATTTCAAACTAGAGAGCTAACTTTCAAAAAATATTTGTGAACAACTGGATGTGAAAGTTGTCAGGATTCCAGAAGTGGCACTAATTAAATTATGAGCTTCGAGCCAAGTTTCAAAACTTACAAGAGACTAATTAGGAGCTAACATGATGGTATGACCGGTGTGTAGCTGATTCTGAGACACACAATTCACTGTCACCCTTGATCCTGGTTTCCTGCACCCCTCTGGTGTATCATCATTCATATTCTCCAATTAAACACATCCATAGCCAAGAGTCATCAATCACGTTCTCCAATTAGAGATTTGCACAGCAAATTGTGAACAACATTATTATTTGCAACCTCCACAAAAGGTAGGAGGTCTGCCCAATTGGACTGCTGATAATTCACGTACCACCTCTACCATGGGGTTCAATCTCTCTGCCCCCCCATTGGTGCTAGGATGAAAGGCCAAGCTAAGGCCCTGGAATGACCCAATAGACCGCAGGAACTCCCTCCAAAATTTGGCCATGAACTGGACCCCTCAGTCTGAGATAATTCTCTGTGGTACTCCATGCAGGTGGTAGTTGTGCTTCAGGAACAGCTTGGCTAACTGGTGGGCTGAGGGGAGTCTGCTGCAAGGTTTGTTTTATCAGTTGACAAAAGTTATAATGTTATAAAATTTTATCAGATAAACATATCAAAGGATTCTGGTGACTAATGCATTTTTTATTAAAAGGCCTACTTAATTCCACTATGAGATGTCGAACTCACATGCACCAAAAGGCTTCAGGCAATGTCAGAAGATCTCAACAAACACAATAGATTTTTAATGCATTACAATTATTAATCTGTAAGGTACTGGTAATCAGTCTCACATGTAACCTGCACCCACATAGACTTTTGGTCTTTCCCTCCCTCCCCAATTATCCAATTTAGGTCTAGCAACTCTATGCATTGGATGAATCCATGGTTTACAAAAAGCATATGCCTTGTAATAAAATACATTAGTTTGAAGTGGTTCTACTAAACTCCCGATTTTTTGTTATCATATATTAGCATAGAGAACTAGTACAGTGTAGTGGATAAGGTACCAAGCTAGAAACCAGGAGACTGTGAGTTCTAGTGTCACCTTAGGTACAAAGCCAGCTGAGTGACCCTGGGGCCAGTTATGTTCTCTTTGCCCTATGAGAAGACAAACCACTTCTGAAATCTTGTCAGGAAAATAGCAAGGACTAGTCCAGGCAGTAGCCAGGAGTCAAAAACTGACTTGAAGTCACCCCTCCACTCCAAAATTAGCATGATTCTACTATATTGTCAGATTTTTTGTCAGCCTTGTGAGAAGACACTATAAAAATCTGGTTAAATGAATAGATGCATTCTCCTTTTGCACTTTAGACTTCTTCCTGAGATCCTATCATCTTGAAAAAAAAATGATGAAGCTGCTGTATGTTATACCTTTTTTAATGCTTACTTTCACCATGATGGAAGGCCGACCAAAACTCTTAGGTAAGTACCAGATAATTTTGGGTTTTTAAAAATCAGACCTATTGGAAGACCTGAAGGTCTAGGCTGGAGACCGATTCTTCTGGGCAAAATCTATCTCTGTGGTTGCCAAGAATAGATACCCACTTGATGACACATAATCAATCAATGTATCATTCAACTGACAATCAAACTGACAAAAAAGTACTTTTTTCAATTGATCACCCATTTAAGAGTGAATATTTGTTATTTACCACAATTCAAATGCATCTCATAATGTACAATCTGAATTTCCCACCAGAAAAACATTAATTATTAAATTTGAAAAATTATTGATTTAATTTAGGCCATATTTCTCATTTATCCTTTATTGTGGGTTGGTGAGGGTTGTTTTTTCCTGCACACAATGCAGCAACATAGTGCTAAGGTGTATATACTTTACAGGAAGTCATAAGGCTTTTCTCACTAGTCCAGTATCTATACGATGTCTACCCTGTCTGAACAGAGATTCAGCCCTAATCTTCTGTTACTAAAGCCTCTCACGCCATTACTGAAATTTTATGATAGAAATCAGAGAAGTATTTTAAATAAACAAATTGAGGTGGTGAAAGAATTGCAGATTAAAAGTGTAGCCCGACACAAGTTTAATCAGTGTGTTTAAATTGGACTAACTTCCATATAAATATACTGTGGAATTGGCAAAATAATTAGTGGAAACATTTGGAAAAGGGGCCATTGACCTTGAATTAGCAAGGCATCCATTTTATGCCTTTTGGATCAAAGCATCCTAATAAGCCCTAATTTTTTATATACACTGTATGCAATTAAAAAAATATCTTAGATGTGGGTAAAAATATATGAGGCTGTTCTAAAATGTTAATGTCTAATAGTGGCTCTTTTTTTTTTCTAGAGTAGATTATATGCAAGAAAAAAGAAAAAAAGTAATACTTCTCTACATTTTTCTCAATCTTTTTTCAATGACTAATAAATATCAACTTTGCAGTCAAAATATGTTAACATCAGAAAAGGCAATATGGCACCTCATAATTATTTTGATTAGAACTCGTGTGTGTGTATTTGTGGGTGTGGGTGTAGTGTGTGTGTATGTTTATATATTTGTACATATGTATGTGTCTGCTTGTGCCACATCATTCATGTTCTTTAGCTGATACACTAAAAAAGCCTAAATACAATCTCAATTAATAAAGAAGGAATACCTTTTTCAAGGTATAAACGATGATTAAGCCAGCTTTACCTTTTTTTTTCCTCCTCCAGAAACTAAATGTAAAACTGGTGCGTTGGATATTGTCTTTGTGATTGACAGCTCACGTAGTGTCCGTCCCTATGAGTTTGAGACCATGCGGCGTTTCATGATTGACATCATCCATAATCTGGATATAGGGCCAAACGCCACACGGGTTGGGGTGATTCAATACTCCAGCCAAGTCCAGAACATCTTCTCTCTCAAGTCTTTCTTCACCAGGGCTGAAATGGAAAAGGCTATCAATAGCATTGTCCCCTTGGCTCAAGGCACAATGACAGGCTTGGCCATTCAATATGCCATGAATGTGGCCTTCACCGTACAGAACGGGGCCCGGCCACTTCACAGGAAGATTCCCCGTGTGGCTGTGATTGTGACTGATGGGCGGCCCCAGGACCGTGTCACTGAAGTGGCTGCTCAGGCACGAGCTGCTGGCATTGAGATCTATGCTGTGGGTGTTCAGAGGGCAGACATGAACTCTCTGAGGGCCATGGCCTCCCCCCCTCTGGAGGAACATGTCTTCTTGGTAGAGTCCTTTGATCTCATCCAACAGTTTGGCAAGCAGTTCCAGGACAAGTTATGCGGTAAGTAAAGGAATAAAGCTTGCATTGAGACTGATTTTTATCCTTATTTTCCTTCTACTTACCATGGGTGGGCAAATCTTTTCAGATGTTAGAGCGTCATTAAATTTGATACCCCAAGAGTTCAATTGGTGTTTCAAGTGTGGGTCCATCTATTTTGAGCATTATGGAAATATTTCCAGTTGGAAAACAGCTCTATTTCAAACATTTCCCAAATGCTCGAAACAGACTGTTTACACTCAGAAGTGAAGTTTTATGAATGGTTTTCACTCAAAACTGTTCAAAAGTAAAGCATGTCCTATACCAAGGGTCTTCAAACTTGGTAAGTTTAAGACTTGTGGACTTCAGCTCCCAGAATTCCTGAGCTAACTTGACTGGAGAAGGAATTCCGGGAGTTGAATTCCACAAGTCTTAAAGCTGTCAAGTTTGAAGACCCCTGTCCTATACAGTAACACTAATATTTATTTATATACCCTTTTGAAGTGATCGTGATCTTCAAAGTGGGCATGTGCCCTGATTAAATACCTCAAAAATCCACTTTTTTCAGCAGCCATTCTTGGTTTCAAATAATTTATTCCAGAAATATATATATAAGTATTGGGGGTGGGGTGGGGTTTATTGCCATTACTATGTTTGCGTTGTGGTTGTTGCTTCATTTCTACTGTTCCATGTTGGCTGGGGAATTCTGGGAGTTGCACTGCTCACTTTGTAAAATTGTCAAGGTTGAGAAATACTGCTAAAGGATCTTTTCTATCCAAATTTCCAGCTAAAAAGAAAGAAATTTAGATGGAGCTACATGCTTCCACATGAGCTCCACTGCTTTAAGAATATTACAATCCCCAGCACATATTTCCTTCTCAATATGAAAACCTATTTCTTTCAGGTGTTGATATGTGCACAGAACTTGATCATGGGTGCCAGCACACTTGTGTCAGCATCCCAAGCTCCTTTTATTGCCAGTGTAAACCAGGATACAAACTTAACGCAGATGGAAAAACATGCGCAAGTAAGAGTAATAGATTATTTAATTGATGTGTGAAAATTTGAAACCATGTTGTGAGCATTCACAAAACAATTGTTTTCATGCATTGAGGAAAAACTTTTAATTATTGTTCTTCTATTTGGTTGCCATTTTTGTTTTATCATAATGGTTATGGGATCCATTGGTTATGCGGGCTGGTACTTTGCAGCATGCTAGCTCCCCTTTTGCATTTTTTATTAAAAATATCCAGATGATCAAGTGATTTAGTAGTCATAATGGGATGAGATAGATGATTACTAATGCAAATGATAATCTGTTGGGGACCCCAGAAGTGTACACACACACACACACACACACACACGTTATTGATTATATATTAGTTATGGTACCCAACATAGTGTTCATAGAAATCAGTGTATCTGTATGTACAGAATCTTCCAGCTAGTTAAACAAACTAGACCATTTTTTTTTAAAAAAAACCTGTGTTTCAGAGACAGGTGTCATGGATTTAACTGGTTTTACAAAACAGCTGAGTCATACAAGAAGAAATCAGAAGCTGGATCATGTGGAAATTTCATCTGATGCTGCATTTCTATGAGTTCCTTGTTAATGGAAATAGTGAAGGGAGAGACAGAAGTGCTGCTTGTAGACAGAAAATAAATGCTTATAGCTAATATGAAATTAATAAACTAGAAGATATATCTGTATCTAAGGCATTTTTTCCTCTTTTTGCAAAACTGGGATTGGGTTTAGCTTTCCCAGTAGGAAACACTCCTCTCGTTTTTTTTCTGAAGTTCAAACTCCAAATTCTGTTTTACTCTTGCAGTCATTGATGCTTGTGCTAACCAGAGACATGGCTGTGAGCACCAGTGTGTTAATTCACAAGGTACCTTCATATGCCGTTGCCAGACAGGCTACCAGCTTAACCAAGACAAGAAGACCTGTAGCAGTGAGTGAACTCTGTATTGCATCAACAACTATAGGGAGAAATAACCATTCTGTAGCTGCTGTTGAAAGTTGGGTGATGTAGAGGGTCAATTTTCAACAAGAAAGTGGCATAATGAGAAAAGTGACCCCTTCCTTGCTGCACTGGGATTTTTTTGTCCTCATTAAACTATACAAAAAAGAAGAATCTGTGGGTCCTTTGATGTTGTTGAAGTGGAATTCCCCAGCAGCCAAAGAAAGGGAGGTAGTTATGATAGTTCAACAACTGGGACATCTCAAGCTTTCAACATTGTTTTAAATATATGTATTTTATGCCAGTGTTGTTTGATGTAAAGGAAATGGAGCCATCTTACAGAAAGGCAAATGTTTGCACCAAATGCTGGATCTTGACTCCAGCCATTGTGTTAACTCAACAATGCAGGTTGTTTTATTGCATATGTGGTGAGGTCCTCTAACGGTTTCTTTCTTTTTCCAGTGATCAATTTCTGCAATTTCAACAACCACAGTTGCCAGCACGACTGTGTTAATATAGTCAATGGATATTATTGTCGATGTCGTGATGGCTTCACTTTGCAGGAAGATGGCAAGACATGCCAAGGTACATTTTATATATGGCTGGCTGTGGCTATGTATGCTTTAATTTTATCACATGTAGCACACACTTAAATGGGCCAAATGACTCTATCTGTGGAATTAGACTCACAGAACTGTGTGAATAGTCATCCACTCGAATTATGAATATGATTCTGATACTCTAGATTAATAATAAATGACTGTCTTACAAAAGTTGCTCTTTAAAAATTTGGAGTATTGTGAAACATTGAGAAATATTTTATTCATGTATTTAATATTTCATCTATATGAAATCCCTGTTAGAAATCATCTTTTGGTTTCAGGAGAGGTATTATCAATAGGTCGATGGTGTTTAATGGTATATCACACTCTGTGCCTAGCCAGAGATATTATGGAAATCTTGAACCAATGTCTGGAGCCTCTGATGGACTGGGTGGAAAGAAACAAGCCCTAGCAAGCAGGATATACGGTCTGTCTTAAAATCCTCAGTATTTAAGAAACCTTCATTCCAGGATTGGCTTTAGGTGGGCTCATCCTTCTCCTGATACTGCAGATCCTTGGTTTGCTTGAACATCAGTTAGAAACTATGGTTATATCTTTGCCCTGTCAGGGTTCCAAGTAATAACTCCATAGAACCTGGCTGGAGCTATTTTGGAGGCTTCATGGTTGCCATGTCCATCTTTAGCTGGTATGTCACTTATGTCCTCCCAGAAGCACTGAATCATAACCTTACCATCAAATAATTGAACAGCTCAGAAGCTGAAACTGGTCCAGAATGGAATGACCATGTTAGCTGATCAACCTGCTATTCAGAATAACACCCAAACACCAGAATAATACCTGCACTGTTTGCTGATAGGCTTCTGGGCCCAGTTTAAAGTGCCAATAATTACCTATAAAGCTCTCTGTTGTGATATAGATTTCATTAGGAACCTTCTTATTCAGAATGATTCTACCTATCCTGTGAGCTGATGAGTTGACTAAGAGAGGGCCTGTTTCTATGAGAGGTGAAGGGTAGATGGACTACAAGGCAGGTATTATCTATGGCAGCCTAACTTCCCTAGAAAAGCTTTCTCCTCTCCTCTCCCCTCCCTCTCCCTCCCTGCTAGTTAAGCAGGTTTTCAGATTTAAATTGATGGGCACAGTACTTTACCATTTATATTTTCAGTATGATTTTGGCAAGTAGTGGTGGTTATGTTGCAAAGATTATGTTATATCATACATACTGCCCTAAGTTGTCTGAACAGATGTTATGGTACAGAACACTTTTGTACAAGTGATAAGACTTCTATGGGGTATCTCTTACCATCCCCTTAAGGATAGAATATTTCAGCATTATCTATTGATACAGTGACTACATTTTCTTGGGGAAAAAATAAAGGAGAAACTTGGGAGAAAAAAGACCTGAACCTGGAAGAGGTTCAAAAGGATAAGAAAAATAGTTGTTTATGTTTATAACTTTGCTTTACAAAGGAAAATTCAAGAGCAAAACTGGGAAAATAAGTAATTAAACAAATTTAAAGGACAGCTTTCTGAAATAAAGGATATCTTTTATAATAAAGGACACGTGGTTCCTATACATTGTGAGCCAGCCTGGGAGTTTGTTAAAGACTTATCCATGTTTATATTTGAAAGATATTTGAGAAAACCAGGACAAACAACAATAACAACATCTATTTATTACAGTACTGCACAAGTCACCATTCGGTCATAATGTGGCTATTTCCACTCTGACTGTGGGGGAAGGCAGCTGCAGTTTGACCCATGTATAAACTGTAGTTTGACACCTTTGGCAAAATATATTTTCTGTGAGATACATGACATGCTTTTTTATTGGTATTTCAGCCAATGATCTCTGCAATACTGTAGAGCATGGGTGTGAATTTAAATGTCTCAGTACCTCTGGCTCTTATCACTGTGTCTGCCCAGAAGGTCAGCAACTGCAGGCAGATAAGAAGACCTGTAACAGTGAGTATCAAGTTCTTTGTGCTTGATAAAAGGCTCTTCCAATATATTCAGCATTTTTCCTAGCTAAGCATTTCATGAAAGGTAGCCATAGAGATTATTCCAGAGATAGTGGTTAACAAAGAGTGGCATTTTGAAAGAGAGACATTCCTTTTGCTAGTGGGTATTTTTACTGAACTAAATTCAGAGATGTGTTTCTGATCCTTGGAGACATTTTAGGCCAGCATTTACCAAATCATAAATGATTTGTTAAAAATCTAAAGTCATCATGAGAGTTATATTACCTTCTGGAGCTTATTGGATGTCCCAGAGTAAACACCACAGTTTCGAAGAAGACAAAATGCATTAGATTGAGAAATGCTTTTAGGATTTGTGTGAAAGAATGAAAGGGCTGCTTGATTCCCCTATAATCTAGCAGAAAGCTTGGGGTACAATTAAATAAAGGGCCATGCAAAGATTTTGACGTATAAAGCACATCCGGTATATCAGCTTTGGCTAGGGTTAAAGACAGATATTGTTCCCATGCAACCCCAAAGTGTTAGTAGAAAAAACAAAGCTTGATCTAATATGAGCTAGTGTCTCAAAGAAAGTCAGACAAAATTCCAGTAATTTGGATGCAGAGAATCTGATTTAAGTTATGCCAGTAGTGAGTCTGTGTATTTGGAGTCCTTTTTATTTAGCTGCCCCTGTGAATGATAGAGGACTCTTTTGGCTTTGCATCTTCTGACTGGATTGTAGTGTTAGTGGTCTGAATCCTATTAGCGCATGTGAACTTGCTTGGTTAACTGAGAAGTTGGTGCACCATGGTAACTAACTTACTTCTAGAAAGGTGAATTTGAACCACTGCTTCATCCCTACTCTGGTAGTTAGTGAGTAGATAAAAGAACAACTGTTTCTTCTGTGACAAAGAATCACAGAAAGATCAGAAGCAATAATACAGGTAGTCCTCCATTTATGATCACAATTAGGTCCTGAAATTCTGTTGATAAGTAAGGCAATTGTTAAGTGAGTCATGCCTGATTTTTCAACCCTTTTTGAATGGCTGTTAAGCAAGTCAGTACGGTTATTAAGTGGGTCGTGTGATCGTTAAGTGGAATCCAGCCTCCCCCATTGACTCCTTGTCAGAAGCCAACAGGAAAGGTTGCAAATTGTGATCACATGATCTCAGGACATTGCAACAATCATATATACATGCCGGCTGCCAAGGTCTCAACTTTTGAACGCATGGAAATGCTGTGTCAATTTTAAGAGCAAAGACTAGTTGTAAGTCACTTTTTTCAGTGCCATTGTAGCTTCAAACAGTGGCTAAATGTATGATTGCAAGTCAATCACAATAATGTAGATCACAATAATTTGAAAATGATAATTATTCACATGGTGACATCATGATGCAGAACCCACCTTTGATTGTTGTGATGGTTGATCCAAGTAAATAGCTAAAGAATTTGCATTATGACAAGTGATGGTATTCAAATAATTTAACAACCGGTTTTCTACCCTAATGAGTTCTTCCAACAACCAGTCCGCCAAACTGCTCAGAAAGTTAACAATCGGTTCTCCTGAAGTGGTGCGAACTGGCTGAATCCCACCACTGATTATGATACCCTGACATCTCAGCCTTCTTTGCTGCTTCCAGGGACACCCAAAAACAGAAGAAGGAATTACTTAAGGAGTGAGGCCTTCTAGAAGGGAAAGCCATGAAGGACTGCAGACATTACATTTTTAGTTACTGTAAATGAACTAAGCAATTGCATTGAATTAAAATTTCAGGTCATTTTATGAACAATAAATGTATCTGACCTGCATGCTAACATTCCTTTGAATGCTAAGTTGAAAGAGAATCTCCAAAGCTTTGTGGGGTAAGAAGTACAAGATTGGTAGGAAGTTCTCTGCTATATGGTAAGAGTTCCGAGGGCTCAGGGACTTGCCTTTCTTTTCTTTTCTTTTCTTTTCTTTTCTTTTCTTTTCTTTTCTTTTCTTTTC